TTGATTTATAGTTATGCTAAAATAATAAAATTCCAAATATTCATAAACCTTGAAAATTGAAAAAAACTTTCTTAAAACATAGAAAGAATTCATGGTACACGCTGGTCAAGTATTAATATTAAAAGACAGACTTGAATGCTGGATTTCTTCATGGAGTGTGTCATTTTGAGATAAATCAGTATGACATGCTTTCCAATAGAGGGTTCTATAGAAAAAAATACCACTATGGCTTATTCACCTGTGGGTTTGCATCCTCAAAAATAGATGGAAAATGTTTCCACGGTGCATCAGGATTAATGAGATGTGCCATTTGGCCCAGATATGTCAAGCCTGTCCACAACCTTAAGCCATAGCACATAGTTATATACTCCGCGTAGTCCAGATCTATAAAGGGGAGAGAATAAAAAGTCTGCTCTGTATACCCTTCACTTGTAACTGCAAAGAAACGAAGACTTACAGACCAGAAGATAAACACTGCCACCTGCTGAGACAAGAGAAACGAAAAAGCATGCAAACTCAGACACTTTCTTTTTCTTTTTTTCTTTTTTTTAAGATTTATTTATTTTTATACAAGAGCTGGAGTACAGGCCAGAGGCACGGGAGGGTGAGAGGATTCACCAGAGACAGAGTGGGGAGCAGAACAGGCAGATCAATGGAAATACACTGCTGAGGGGAGCAGCAGGCACAACAGGAGAGGTCTGCGGCACCATGTGGGATTCTCACCGGAGGGCCGGCATCAAACCCGCACTGTCGAGGCTGCAGACAGTTTTACAGAACAGTGCTCATCCCACTGCACCACTGGGGAGGCCCTCAGACACTTTAAAACACGGCCACACTTTCTAGCCTTCATCAGGGAGTGCAGTAAAAACCGTGTTGTTCTTTACTCAGTAAACACATGGGTATCTGATTATCCCACAGTCCAAATAACAGTGTCAAAGACAACTTGATTCAAAGGGAAGTATCAACATTTCCCAAAAGGTAGAGTAAATGTCAGTTCTTGCCTTTGTTGCTTTCCCAACCTCCACGCAGCTTTCCTGGGGTCCAGCTTTTACATGCTGACACCTACTCAGAGACTCACTTTCTAGTGACCTGAAACTCCAATTAGAGGAAATTTAGGGAGAGAGAGAAAATGGTTTTGCCTCGATGTGCAGGATTCAGCAATGCCCCACCCACCCAACCACCCACACCCACAAAGCATTATCAATTTTCTCTATATTTATCATTCCTCTATATTTATATTCCTCTGTATTTATCATTATCAATTTCCTCTATATCAATTTTCCTCTATAAGTCAATATTTCATCCTAGGATTTATTGCTTACAAAAACCATGATGTTTCAGAGGGAACAGGAAATTAAGAAGGGTAGTTAGTAGGGGAAAAAGAGTCACAGCCATACCAACTCCCTGGTGGAATCTTCTAGATGTTACAATGAATTAACCTCAGATGCCTATGAGTTTCCACTTAATTTATCTTAAAACAGCAGGGTTAGCCTAAAGTGGCATTCCCAGCTGTAGACTCCTCTCAGACAGCCATGCCAAAGCAGAAGCATCACTCTTTCTATAGCAGAGAGTAGGTTCAGATACCCACGGACCCAGGCGTGACCATAATCGAAGTGGATTTGAGGGTTTTCACCCAGCCATGGGGAGGAAACTGTCTGTGAGAGAATCTATATTCCTTTTAACCATAAAGGTAGAGCTGGCCTGTTTTTAAAGTAAAAATATATATACCTGAAACTTACATAATGCTATCAACCAATGTGACCTCAAATAAAAATTTATTTTAAAAGTCCAAATTCAGACTCATTATTTGGGAAAAAAAGCATCATACTTCATAAGTTTATCTTTTATTTTATATTTATCTTTTAATTTATTTTCTTACATCATTGCTCATTTTTGTACGGTATTTGGTCTCTCCCCTCAGGCATCGTCCCAGTGGTTCTCCCACCACCATAGTCTTTTGTGCTGTCCCCTCCCCTGTTTTGACCCTCTGTCCCCTCCCCTGTTGGAGGCCTCAGGTCTATGGTCAGCTTGCAAGATTTGTCTTTTCTTGACGTTTTGTGCAGTTTCTCTTTATTCCACATATAAGTAAAACCACCTGATCATAATGTTTATCTTTTAAAAGTTATTTATTCAGGGGTTTCAAAAGATACTCAGACAAAAAAAAAAAATGCCTTCTATGCATTATATAAAAAAGATTAACCATGTCAGAAAAAAACAAAAAAACATGGGCAGCTCATCTGCATTTAACCATCACCAGCTAACAGCTTATTTGGTTATTTATAAAAGACAGCATTTCTAGGGTAATCCATGTCTGACCAACTATGTTCCCAATGATATTTCAACTTTATGAGGACAGCCCACTTTCACAAAATCCCATAAAAATCTAAACATAAGATGGATTAGGTTATAATCATCTATGTTGATAGTCTCACTTCTCAGCTTCTCTATTCCACAGAGAACTTTTACAAGACAATTACCCTAGAGTTCTAAATTTTAATTTCATTGCAATGCTAAGATACTAGATTAAAGTGAGTTATATTTCAAATTAGATTTCTGAGTAAATAATACTGTTCTTTCTTGAGAAATGTGTTTCTATAGGAAGCACAGATTTTTTAAGATGACTGCTAAGTTATTAATTATAAGAATAATAGCAAACATTTATCACCATGCTTTTTATGAGCCAGGTGTTCCTAATCCTCAAAACAGCAACTATTATTAACTCCACTTTCCAGATAAGGAAACTGAGTCTGACGTTGAGGAAACTTGCCCAGCAATTAAGAGTTGGATTCAGAATATCCATCCAAACTGACTGCATCCACACAGCTTCACTTTTATACTAAAATACTCCAGGTGAAAAATAAAGTGTGTATATTAAACCATTTTTCTTATGACCTTCAGTATTTAAATGCTTGTTTTTTTAAGTAGTTTGGGGTACCTGGAAATGGTAATAAATATTCTATAGAGAAAGTTACCTCACAAAATAAAAATGAGGATCAAGCCATTTTCTGTCAAGGATTATCCCACTTAAATAGGTCCGTGAGACCCAGGATGAGAAACATGGGCACACACTGACTACTCTCTTACCTGATGTGTGAAATCACATCACTACCTTTCCTACAGCCATTGAAAATTTAAGAAGAAAACACAGTATCAGCGTCCTTTAGAGTTTTTAAAAAAGTAGCAGGAGTCCGCCCCACCCCCACACGATCTCCTGTAACACAGATTTCTTGGCTTCACTTTCTGCACTTTCTCCACCTGCAGCCACCCGAAGTCTGCGTGTATTTTGCGTTACTTTTGCTTTTTATTTCTTGAGGGCTAGACACCGGAGGGTGATCTGAGGGGTGAGTCTCACCCACTCCCCCCTTGCTCCTGCACCTGATGCTCTTCTCCCATCATTTAACCAGGTACACTTAAGAGCAGGGACGAAGGAGCGGAAGCCCAGGAACCAGCATCATTCCTATGTCTCATGTCTTTGGTAAATGATTGAACTTCAATGAGACCTTGAAGTTCACCTTCCTCATTTTCAAATCAGGACTATTCGTTACCTGCTTTCTTTTTTTTTTTTTTAAAGATTTATTTATGTGTATAAGAACTGGGGTATAGGCCAGAGGTGTGAGGGGTCAGAGGATCCACCAGAGACAGAGTGGGGAACAGAACAGGCAGATTGACTGAAACACACTGCTGAGGGGAGCAGCAGGTGAGACAGGAGAGGTCTGCTGTGCCATGTGGGTAGCTCCCTGGACAGCTTCATAGGTTGTGTCTTAACTCCTTGCACCACCAGCGAGGCCCCTAGTTATCTGCTTTCTAACAGTTGCCAAGAGGGTTAAATGAGATGATCTGCCTAAGAGGTGGGGGGTGAGGTAACTCTGGGCCACAATTAGTTCTCAGCCACAAGCCAATTATTAACAAGCAATTAAGTAAAATTCATATATATATATATATATATATATATGTATGTATATTTGCTCTGGATGCAGGCATCACTATTTTTACCTTCTGGTTTGACTTTTAACATTAGTTGTTAATACCCACTTTGGCATGGAATCAGGCTGGTGTTTGGTGGTTTCTCTCATCCTCTCATTTGTTTTCCACCCAGACCTTTAAATTCAATTACCTGAATGTCTATTCTGCTTAACTTCTTTTTTCAGATAAACCTGCCTAGGTTTTTTCAACCCACTATGAATCCAGAGTAAGTTTGTTATTAAATGAGATCTATTTTAGTTTCTACACATGCTCCCCAATTTTATTCAGAGTAAGTCAATATTTGGGGTGGGGTATAGTTTGAATATGAAGGGAGGAACATCAAGCTTCTATTCCAAAATTACCTTTCACATGCTTAGTTGCAAGAAGTAAAATAACTAAGAATAAAATTTAGGGGTTTTTTTGAGTTTTTTTCTTTTTTAGACATTTATTTATTCATTTATATTTTACATCATTGTCATTGTTCATTTTTTAATATATTTTTACATCATTGTTCATTTTTAACAATGTTTGCTTTCTCTCCTCCCTCACCCCAGTCCTTTCACCCCAACACCTCTGGCCTGTACCCCAGTTCTTGTATGCATAAATAAATAAATCTTAAAAAAAAAAAGAAAGCCGGTAACAAGCAGTCCTGATTTAAAATTCTAGTCCCCATAGAGCTTCCTTCCCCAAGGCACCCGTGCACCATCACCTCAGTCCCCTGTGCTCCTCCCTCCCTCCCTCTGACCCCTCTCCCACCTCCTCCCCTGCAGGATGTCTCTGGTTTATAACTGTCTGTTTTTGTTTTGTTTCGTTTTGTTATGGTTTGTATTGTTATTAGTTCCCCGCCCCATGTCTTATTTGGTTCTCCTATATTCCTTCTATAAGTGAAACCATCCGATATTTATCTTTTTCCTTCTGACTTATTTCACTGAGCACAATTCCTTCTAGCTCCATGCTAAATAATGAAACTTTGAATCAAATTGCTGACATTTGTGTCTTCTTAAAAAGCACATCACATGGTATACAATTCACAAATATTTTTTTCCAGAAACTTTATTCAAGAGAAATGACAACAGCCTACCAAAGAGACACGCAATAGAGTCCCTTTCATTTCTCCTGCATGACGTTGTTCAAACATAAAATAAGATTGAAATAACCAGCAACGTTTGTCCAACGTCACGCTGATTCCTGCCATCTCCATCAAATAGGATCAAGAAATGGCACAACTGTACCAGTTTTAATGGTCCTATCTGCGAAGCAGAGGGCAGTGTATAAATGGTTGATGTGAAAAAGAAGAAAATACATGAAATATCAAAATAGTCTACTTCTGTCTGTGAAATCTGGGCCCGCCGCAGCGTCTGCTCCTGGGCGCCGCTCCTCCGTCAGCGCCATATCCTGCAGGTGTTATCTTTGCTGCCTACAAAACAAAATCCGCCAAGTTATTTTCTCCTTATTTCACTCATTTCACTCTCTCCTCTTGCAATGTGACATGTTCCGGGTCAGGGTCCACTCTGGGTGTGCGAGATGAGCTGGATTCTCAGCACCCAGCTGCGAGTTCCGGGGCAGCAAAGGAATTGTTGGACTGGGGATCTTTTTTGCTTTTAATTTTTTGCAAGACTCCTGTCAGCTCCAAAGGATGCAAGCTCCTGTCTTACACTGGTAATACTCAAGCCAGGATGCACCCACTCTGCTGACACCCTCTGCGTCCCCTCGACCACTGCTGTGGTCACACGGTGAACTTGGACATCTGCAGCCTACAGGAGACTTAGCTTATGAGGAGACAGCACTTTCCCCTTTGGGACATTTTTAAATGTCCATAGATATTTCTCAATTCATGGCCTCCATGAAATGTTTATCCTCAACCTCCCCCACTGCAGGACAGCCACCCAGGCAGCCTGGCTGTCCTCTCCCCAAGGGGCACCGTTCACATTCCCTCCACCAAAGCACAGCTGATGCCAAGCAGTCCTGGGCTGCTGCTTCTCTACACTTCAGGGCCAGGCACTCAGGGTGTGGGGTTAGGTCAAGAGGCTGCACCTGCTGTTTTTACAATGGCAGTGACCGCGCTGGCTGATTCTTGTCCACTTTGTGATTCTGCACCCAGCCTCCAGAGAGCAGTCCACTCAGATGCCTGCAGTTAACCCCAGTGGGCTCACCTAACACCTAGGACCCGCAATCCAGACACCGATTGCTCTGCAGAAGGCAAGACAGATTTGTCCACCCCACTGGCCACTATTCAGTACTTTGGGGCTTTGGAAACCACTAAATAAATCATTATTATCTTCAAAGAGCTGGGGATTTAAGAGCCGGCGTGCAAATAAGGCAAAGACACTAGCAGGTGGGGAGAGGGGAGAAGGAAGAGGCGCTGCAGCGCTAGCCAGCATGGGGGCACGTGGCTTCGGAAAGGCTGATCCTCGGAAACACCCCATTTCCTTCTCCCTTCCTTGGCGGCAGCTTCTTGAGAGCATTCTTGTCTCCACTGTAGCTGCCCCCTCCTTCCTCGTCATGGCCCACCATAAATAGATGGCGCAGCACGGTATCGAGGAGAAACACTTGAAACCGTAACCCCAAAGAAAGTCATCAGAAATTTTAGAACTTATTCATAATTAAGTAGAAAGGGAAATGTTTTAGGGCCAAAGGGGAGATGATTCTCAGCACTCTTGAGGTGATTTGAGTAGGAAGGCACCTAGCCAGTTAAAATAGAAACCAAACTTGAGTCTGGGGCCTCCCTGGTGGTGCAGGAGTAAAAGACACAGGCTATCAAGCTATCGCCCAGCCACTGCAGCATGAGTTCGATACCCAAACGGCCAGGAAGCTACCCACATGGCACAGCAGACCTCTCCTGACTTGCCCGCTGCTCCCCTGAGCAATGTATTTCAGTCAGTCTGCCTGTTCTGTTCCCCACTCTGTCTCTGGTGAATCCTCTCACTCCTGCACCTCTGGCCTGTACCACAGCTCTTGTATGCATAAATAAATAAATCTTTAAAAAAAAAAAACCTGAGTCTGTGCATTATAAGGACAGTTAAGCATTTTCTACACAGTGAGAAGGGTGGAGAGGTCGATTCAGGCTTCTGTGCCCTTTAATAGCATTCCTGCCCATCAGTGTCAGCTTCCTACTCCCTGCTCCCTGCCAAGAACCCCTGGAGAGGCACCACACAAGCATTGGGTGAGGAAGAGGAAGTTAAGTGGTTAATTTATTCTAATTATATTCCTACCATGCCATCCCTTTCCACAATCCAAATTAACCTATTCTCAGTCAGTTCTTACAAAATCTTGATCTAAAAGGAAAGTGTTGCTAGTATAATTCACCAAAAAAATTAATGGTTGAAAAATATGAGATATGTCTTCGCTTCCCCAAATACCAGTGCTTCCTCTTCCGAGAAGAAAACAACTTTGCTCTAAGAATAAATCTCATACATCCCGCTGTGGACAAGGCAGGCCGTGACTAGTGTGAGTGACAAACACTTAACATCAATGGAATATTAACCACTTGATGGATGGTGCCTGGAAAAATGCAAGCGGAAAGCAGGTTATTGAATCCCTGCTTTGTCAAGAGCCACTGAAATTCAAAATTCACGAGGCCTCTCAGGGTAGAGCTCACTCATCGTTATGTGATGCAATTAAAATTAAATGTTGGCCACAGAGGCACCAGGATGAGCCCAGGAGCCTGGAAAGGGGGTGTCCTGCGGGTCTTCCTCTTAGGAACTCTAATGGCCAATGGAAAGAGGAAAGTTAGGTGCTCGGAGCCCACCTCTCCCCACCTGTGATGATGATGTCGCCCTTGTAGTTGAAGGCGCAGGAGAAGATCTCGTCCGTGTGGCCCTCCAGCACCTGCAGGCACTGCCCCGTCTGGGCGTCCCACAGTCTGGCCGTCTTGTCGGAGCTGCCGGTGAGAAGGCGGTTCCCTTGGGGGTTGAAACAAATCTACAAAAGGGAAAAATTAAAACATTCTCATGGGTTCATGGACTGATACCAATATTTTTTAACCAGCCAAAAGGGGACATTTCTAAGCACCTGTCCCCTCCCCAGCCTGGTGTTTATTCTGCCAAACAATGGCTCATCCATGGTGGGGCAAATGTCATGGGACTAATAATATATGAAAATTAAAATCTAGACAGAAAGGTTTAACAGCCAACCCCTTCAAAACCTAGCGAGGAAGACCAAGCACCCTTTTCATGTGGGTCGTCCCCACCCAGCTTCTTACAAAGATCCCCAATGCCTTTGTCCACGCAGACATGGGCAGAGCCTGGTGGGGAGCAGATCACAGGCCAGACTCCTTCATAAACCCCAGTGTCAGCTCTGTAACTCCACTTCTGGCATCAAAGGCGGTGGGCCCTCCTTGGATAAGTGAACAACCAGGAGGAGAAAGACTTCCTGTCCTGTCATTCAATGCTGCACCCACCAGGGATTCACTGAGTCCCTCCCCTTCCCTGAGCATTGTCAGCAGATGCCATGCAGCAGCCACAGGGAGCTGCTAGTCCCCAGGCCTTTGGGCAGCCTGCTATAACCCTAAGTCCTCAGCTGCCTCACTCTCTACCCTTCTGTGACCAAGAACTTGACAAGGGCAGGGCCATGATTTCCCATCATGTGTCCCTGGTGCCAGCACCACAGGTGCAGGGACATGGGGGAGGTCCAGGACCCAAAGGGAGCCTTCAGAGCCCTATGACTAGCAAGCAGTGGGGTCACTCAATACTTGTGAATGAATGAAAAAAATGAATGCTTTTATTTTTACCCCATATAATTGTCATTCCTGGATGGCAATTCAATAAGTAATCTACCACTTAACAAGCATAAAATGCAATGACAGAGAGTTTAAGAATTCTACACACACACTGAAACAGGGGTGCACTTGAGAGGAACACACTGCACGTGTCCACAGCAACCAGCTGGGCCCTCAAAAGCACAGCCTGGGCTCTTCCTGCAACATGTCTCCCAAGCCCAGGCCTCCCCATCCAGGCCTATCTGTTCTAAGACCCCTGCCTATGGAGAGGGTGGTCTCTGCATTCCTGAGACCAGTCCTGGTGGACCAGAGGACAATGGCCACCACAGGGGGAGGTTTCCGGGCCCAGATGGAACCTTCGGAGCCTTGAAACTAGTGAGCCAGTTTCTCACAAGGAATTAGCAATTCTGGTTCTCGGCTGTGAGGCTAAGGAGTCAGGTGAGCTGGGGAGTGAGAGGCACAAAGTCCCAGCTTCTCTAACAAGCACTGATGACACAGCTAAGCCTCCAATCACAGTGTGGAGGTCCCTGCTCCATTGACTAAGCCATGGGGAGGGGCGACAGCTTTGAAGTTCCAAAATAGGTCATTTTATACTTTGTTAAGTGTTAAATATTTCCAGGAAATGCCGCTTCAATTACATCTAATTTACAGAACACTTAATATTTGCTGCACAGCATGATTTTTGCTTATTATGAACTTGTGTGTTTATGAGAACCAGGAAAAGCTCTTCATAAGTTTCTTAAATAGCTCTCCCAGGTATTTTCAGCTACTTAAATCTGTAGCTGATGGCTAAGGGGAGAACCATTTCATATTTTGTGAAAAGTTTTGGCAATTGTTTATTATGCTGAAATTGAGGACACCGTAAAAATAGTTTTTTAGGTAACTGATTTCTAGTCTCTTGGAGTCAATAGACTTATATTTTTAGTAAGAAAAAGCTTACCAAGCTTCAAATGAAAGAGCAACTCACCTTTGAAATTTCACCTTCATGACCTTCCAGTTTGGTGATACATTTCCTGGCAGTTGCGCTGAACACCCTGGCTGTCCCTTTGTGAGGGGAGGTGGGGATATACATATAAATGTGAATTCATCTGAATACAGCACTTTGGACCAAACACCTGGAATGATCTAAATGTCTCCCCTCTGACACATAAGCCCACCGCCTGCAGTGAAGGCCAGCCTCTACCTGAGGAGGGGAGGCCTGATTACCAGAGAGGAGTCCACTTTACTAGGCCAAGAGGGGTGGTGGGTGGGGGGGTGGAAAGGAAAGGTGGTAGGAAAAGGATGAGTACAGTTGAGAAAACTCAAATGGGATGAAGTAAACTATGCAAATGCACAGTGTGTCCTGCCCCTTCAGCAGCTAGGGAGGTACGTGGAACACAGGTGGACGAACGTGAGTTTCTCCTCTTCATGGATGGTGCTTGTGCCGCCATTTCCACTGAATTGAACCAATGTCAGACAAGCAGGGTTTCCATCGTGGCTGCAGTCTGATCCTCAGGCTGGCAGGAACCCACACACCTCTAGCTCCCCACCTGCACGGCAGCAGGGTGCTCAGCCTGCTCAGGTGCCCCCGGCTTCTTCCAGGAACTGCATCAAGCCCCCAGCTCACATAGCATCTGGCCCCGCCCAGCACCCCGGAGGTGTTCTCTGCAGAGCACAGGACAGTTCCCCTGGACTGCTGTAACCTGTCTCTGCTTGCCTCTCCCCAGCCCAGTCCTTCTAGCATCCGCAGCGGTCATGGGCTCAGATTCCTAAACTTTCTTAACCCTGTGATTTTACTGAAGCTTCTTTCCCAAAGGAGTAAGAGCTCTTGGGCCAGGTGTTGTTTCGTGGGTTTGTTTTCAGAATCAAGCAGCTGTATATGTGGCCCTCCACCCTCCATGTGGGCTTTTTTGTCTGGATTAACCCGTGCCTGGTCGGGGACTCTAAGCAGCAGGCTGCACCTGCAACTCTTCCTCTCACACAACTGGCAGGGGCTGTAGAGCAGAAAGCTCTACCCACGTTCTCTTGCTATTTAATCCGGGAGCTCATCATCCTCGTTGGCATCCTCAGTGCTCTCCTCAGGCCTGCAGCTGTGCCCAGGTCACCTGGGACGGACCTGGGTAATGCAAGCTGGTCCCATGAAGGTAGCCAGGGTGAAAGTAGGGGTGCTCCAGCCCCGAGCCTATTGGAAGAGATGATAGGGCCCCAGGTAGAAAGAGGAGGCAGGAAGCCAGAAAGAAAGGAGATTTTAAAGGGGAAAAAAAGGGGAAATCAAAACAAGTTTTGAGAGGCTGGTGATGAAATAAACAGCAGGACCAGCATCACACACCAAATATGAGTCAGCTCACGGAAGCTACGAGAGGGTCTTCCTAGAAGGAAACAGAGGCCTTTATTCAGAGGACTAAGAACAGGCGCTAGGAAATTCTTTCCAACAGAAAGAGCTAATAGGATTGTTTGTCCCCTGTTGCATCCCCAGAGGCCAGAAGTGCTTGAAGTCACAGCAGGGATTCCATCCTTAGCTGTAGGACTAAGGGATGGATGGATGGAGGGAGGAAGTAACCTATACTTGCCCTTAGAATTAAGGAATGGGAGAGTTACATAAGCACAAAAGGAAAGACTGCTGTAGTGAAACTGTTGTTTTAAAAAGTGACCAAATTTCTGGCTAAGTGATGGACACTTTCCTATTGCAAATGACAGCATTACATAGAGGTTAAATTAGCCAACGGGGAAGTTGCAGTCACTCAATTTCATTCATAGAAAAACAAGACATCAAAATGATTTTTTACTTACCTTTCTGGCAATGCCAACTTCAGGAGAAAATAGACAAAATGATGCAAGTTGCTATCTTAGAAATACTATGATTAAAAACATAAAGCTTGCTACTTTGCACTTTTCATCATGCATAGTGAAAAGATAAAATATACATCTGTGGCATCGTGTGCATTTAGGAGAGGTGACATGACCTAGTGTAGAAGCAAACCTGTCACGAGGTGACACAGCACAGTCATCAGGATGACATGAAGCACATCTAGTATGTGGTTCCCAAGGATATGACATAATAGAGCATGAGAGATGGTTATCAAGGGAATGATACAGCACAGTGTCACACCATCAGTGGTAACAAAGAGATGATGTACACTATAACATCATGAATGGTTAACAAGGAGAGGACATGGACAGATACATTTCTGCACTAGATGCGTTCCCCTTGGAGATAACCCACAATATGTCACCTTAAATTGTTATAATGGAAATTATATGTAAATAATTTAGAACTCTGTGGTTCTGAAGGAGGAGAAGCAGATACAGTATCTCATCATATGAAGTGTTCAACAAAATTGAGCAGACATCCTCATAAGTGGCTATTAAGGAGATAAAGTATACCTAGTGTTGTATCATACAGTTATCAAGGAGATGACACAACTGTGATAGAGCATCATAGCATCATTAATAGGACGGTGACACAATGAGTAGGGTTGTATATTATCATCATGGTGATGATCCTACATAGAACATCATAGATAGTTATTAAGGAGATCAAACATCATAGTTATTCAAAGATTGTTGTCAAGGAAATAACCTTGAAATACTTCAGAATGGTTATCAAGGAAAAGACACAGTCAAGGTATTGCACCCCACAAGGTATTCAAAGAGCTGATGCTGATACCTTGTAGCATCAAACATGGTCATGAGGAAATTAACCCATAATATGGCATGTGTTGTGGCTAGCAAGGAGAAGGTGACACAGATTAGCATCATGCATATTTATGAAAATAACAGAGATATAACATAGCATCATATATGGTATTTAATTTGATGACACATGTGTAGGGTAGCATCATACATCACCATTGAAAAGATGACATATCATCAAGTATTCTTTGAGATTCTCAAGGAAAAAATGAAGTCACATTATAGCATAATAGAAAGTTATAAAGGATGTGGATTAATTCACATTTCTATGAAGTTATCAAAACCATGAATGATGGCGTGACAACATGCCATCATTGAAGTAATATCACGGTATAACACATAATTGAAATATGATGCAAAATGTGGAATCGTGGATATGATGTCAAGGATATGATGCATATATTATGTAGCATCATACGTGGTCATGAAGGAAACTCTCATAGTACAGTGTCATACAAGCTCATCAAGAAATTTATGCAGACGTGATAGCGCTTCTGAAGAACATAATGTGGATATTGTATAACATCAGAAGATGACACAGAAATAGCAGGGAATCTTGACTGATTGACCAGTGAAGATAAGACACAGCAATCATGCAGCTGTCAGAAAGGTGATGCCAGCATACTGTCATCATAAATGGAGTCTAGTGAAGTGACATATTTTAGCATCACACAAAGCTATCCAGTTGTTGTCGCAGATCATAGCAGTATACATGCCCTCCACAGTCACCCATGGAGATGACACATAGCATGTGTGTCATCTACAGAGCACTTAAGGAGATGGCAACAAAGTACAGTGCCCCAAACATTTCATAGAGATGGTCCAGATACACTACAGAGTCATATAGGTGACACAGCAGACCCTTGTCCTCAGGGAAACAAGACTGACATATGACAGCATCACATATGGATTCCTAGGAGATGACACATATGGGGAACTGTACCATGCAGGGTTCTAGAGGACTGGATAAAGATTCAGCATAGCATCACACATGATTGTAAAGGTATGGCAAAGACTACAAGTTAAAACACAGCTGTCGAGTGTGTGATGTAGACACAGATAGTTCTTAACTGTCATCAGAGGGGTAGCACAGATTTAGGGCAGTGCTGTCCATGGTCATCGGGTAGATATCATAGGTGTGATGTCGCATCTTTGGTGTCTTCAGGAAGAAAAGACATAGAATCACATCACACTTTGTTATCCAGGGTGATGCCTCATAGAATAGCATCACACATCATTGCGTAAAGTCACAAGACAGCACAGAATAGCAGAGCATCAAAAGAGCTTGCCCAGGAGGGTGATGCAGATGGAGTGCAAGAGAATATGTGGTTATCACCCTCCTGGGCAAGCTCTTTTGATGCTCTGCTTTTCTTTAATGCAGGCAGAGCACAGTTTCATGACTGATTATCAAGGATTGCCAGGGAATGACAGAAAGTGTTGTCTTTTGTGTTCATCAGGAATACGTGGTATGATGGGGATGGCCCATCATTCAGTGTCAGAGGTTGCCATGCAGGTCATGATGAACACAGTATATCAGCGCAGAGGGTGGTCACTGAGACAATAGAGAGTCTGTATAGCATTACACCCAGCTTTTGGTGCAGACAGGGTATAGCACCATCCACCTTTGTCATCAAGATGACCCCTCCTAATAAATAAATACTAAAAAGAAAAATGACCCCTCCTAATGCACCAAACATGTTATCAAGAAGATTTAGCTGACATGGCATACATCATAGGATGCACACACACATACATCAGAGAAAGGAGATGTTGCAGGCAGAATGTAACATCAGAGGTGGTTTTTAAAATGTTGATGTGAACAAAGTGCATCAGTCACCAGGAAAATGATATAAATAGCATTGTGTCCACGGTCATCAGGAAGATGATGTACTTACTCCACAATCAGGAGATGGCAGAGACCTCCTGCAGTGATCCTAACTGTCACCAGAGAAATAGGAATCCTAAGTATTATTAGTGTCATAAGAGTCTTCTAGGGTGCAAATAAGGCATAGCATCAAATGGTTTTAAAAGAGTAGATGAGAACAGGGGTAGCATAGTAAATCACTTTCAAGGAGATGATGATATAAAATGCAGCATGGGTCCTGGAGGGTTGAGACAAACATAATGGCACACGTGGTCAACAGAGAAGTGACACGGATGGATTGTAGCATCACATGTGGTCTTCATGGAACTGGCTACCAATAAGATGATGATGAATTAGTGTGGCGTCATACATGGAATGAAGAAGAGGACATGCAGCCTGGCATCAGAAATGCTCATCACAAAGATCTGTTAGGCCCAATGGAGCAGCCCGTGTGGTCACCGCAGAGATGATGCCGATTTATTACAGCACCATGATTGGTGGCCACATTGATGAGGTCAACGTAGGGTGGTATAATGCATGATTGTCGGAGAAATGATGGGGAGCCTACCATTATATTAGGGTACCACTGAGATAGTGAAAACCTAGAATAACATCTCATGTACTTGTCAAGAAGGTGACCCAGATATAGTATAGTGACACAAATGACATGCCAGACAGAAGGTAAACATAGTTTCTATCATAACTGGTCATCAGAGAGATAACCCATAGTCTGTATTCATGAGTGTCTATCAAACAAAGCATAAAATAAATTAAATGAATGAATAGATTGCCTACCATCTGCTGAAGCAGTAGCAATTAACTTTCCGGTGTAATCAAAACAGCTGTCTAGTATTTCATCATCGTGGCCTGTTAATGTAGCTACACATTTTCCACTTGTAGTATCCCACAGCTACAATTAAAGAAAACAAAAAGACTGTGAAAAGGTTGAAGTGCAAACATGGGCAGAAGCTGTAGTCTTTGTGGCATGCTTGTAGCCGTTTAAATAAATGCCAGAATCACATGTATAATTTTCATGGATTCTGTGAATTCTACCTCAATTCATAACCATAGACCATCGCCAACCACCTAAGAAGGAACATCTTGGACACAGGGATGACCAAAAATGATTAGAATGGGTCAGTGCAAATTAGTAAAGGCGGGGAGGGAATCTCAAAGTACTTGCTTCACTGCTTGTGATTGTGGTATCCCGTTTTCATAGGAAGGTGATCAAATGATAAGGAGCTTGATCTAAAACTTCCAATTACATTAAAATCATAATGCATTTGATATGTAATCAACTAATAATCCCAGAGCATAAGCTCTTAGTAACTGAAACTTGTAAGTCTGGGAGGTGGTCTGTTGAGACTCCTTGACATTCATTCCAGTTAAAGTTTAATAAATGAGGGGCCTCCCTGGTGGCACAAGGGGTTAAGAACCGCACTATGAAGCAATTCACAGCCTCTGCAGCACAAGTTCAATCCCAAGCCGGCCAGGGAGAAACCCACACGGCAATGCAGTCCTCCCCAGACTCGCCCGCTGCTCCCCTCAGCAGTGTACTTCGGTCAATCTGCCTGTTCTGTTCCCCACTCTGTCTCTGGTGAATCCTCTCACCCCCCACATCTCTGCCCTGTACCCCAGCTCTTGCATGCATAAATTAATAAATCTTTTAAAAAATAAATAAAGTTTAATAAATGAATAGAGAAACTGTTAAGCAAAAATAAGATGCCTTTGAAAAATAAGATAATTTAGTTTTGAAACCATTACAACTGTTCTATTATATCATAATTCTTTTAAACTTAGGGAATCAGAAACTTTACCAGTTATTATGTCAAAGTTAGTATCTTAATTTGACAGTAGCTTTGAAATGTGTTAATATTCCAGTGAATATCTGAGACAGTAGGAAGGATACTCTAGAATTGTAAGGAAAGTTATGTCCTGAGCTCACCATGCATGTTTTGTCCATGGAGCTGGTTAACATCAAAGAGCAGTCCCAGTTGAACAAGGCACTACTAATCTCCGCACAATGACCAATCAAGGTATAAATCTTCCTATAAAATGGAAAGGATTCCCAATGATATAAGATGCCTCACTTTAGGAGAGGTGCACAAATAATGAGGCCAAGCCCAACATGCTAAGAGTGCAAACCACAGTTTTTACAAAATGATAATTTTTATGACAAACATGGTTTTGTTGTAGTTCAAAGAGAGTCAGTAAGACTGCTAATTTCATTCCAACAAAATGATGCTTAAATTGTAAACAAGGACTGACACTTCAGAAAGGCAGGAGATGAAAAATAATAATATAAAAATATTCTTGACGCATCCTTACATCAGATAAGTGGAGACCTAGCTGGTCAGATGACCTGTCCCTCAGTCTCCTTCCCCTGTGTCCTTTTGATTGTCACCCTTGGTAATTAGCCCATCTACCAACATGTGGACAAAGCCAGGTGGAGTTTTACAGGATAAATAGGCTAATGTAGTTAACTTCTTAGCAACTGGGACCAAAAAATAATTAGGAAGGAAACTGAAGTTCTTGGACTAATTTAATTTGATAAATTAGCCATGATTTTATTAATTCTTGATATCCAATGCCTATGGTAATGACAAGCCATTGAATCTGATTACAGAGTACATGGAACAAATAACAGATATAATCAGGCTATTGCTAACATTCTCCTTTTATGCTCCTGGTTGCTCTTATCTGCTCAGAATTCCAGGAAGACACATATGGTTATGGAACAAATTGATTTATATTTCAATGTGTCCACTTTCTAGGGAGTCTAAAGCATAGATTAAATAAAAAACAAAAGTTGGATATTTAACTTTCTGATCCAAGTTTAAAAATTCCCAAAAACAAACACTACCTGCCAGTGGCAGCATCCCACAGTGCCACCGTGTGATCAAAAGACCCAGTGATGATTCTGTTTCCCGAGGTGTCAAAGGACAAGGAGATGATCTCGGCTGAGTGTCCCTGCAAAAGAAGGGGATGTTGTCATGGCATCTGTAGATAAGACAGTTTCTATAAATGTGCAATGTCACAGTTGAAAAGAAAATGCTAGAAAAGGCAAAACTCCCTTGGGAGGAAGGAGAGCAGTGGCTGGGAGACTGGGAAAGAAACAGCAGAGAACAGGTAGGTGGCTTCCCTTGGGAGTGACGGAAATGGTCCCGAACTAGACTTTGGTGATTGCATAATTCTCTAACTTTACTAAAACATGATTCGTGTAATTAAAGCAAGTCAAACTTAACTCAACAATGCCGCTTGTTTGTTTTAAGAATGGAGAAGGGCATGTTTGGGAAATCAGCTGTTTTCACACTGTACGGAAACACCTACAAGCACCATCTGCTTTATGGGCTAATCACAGGTGACAGTCAAACGAGAAAAAACAGTGAAATAAAGATAGTTAGCAACGTTGAAAGGGGGACATTCTTATGACCATTCCCCACGAATAGATTAATAAATCTCTGGCCTTTGGACTGACTTTCCATGGGTTACCATCTGGGGCTGAGGAAAACTGCTCTCTCTAGTAAATCCTGCTTGGAGTAGAGTCCTTGTTTTCCTAATTATTTCAGTGGTGTGACATCATTACATTTTAAATAACATTAAAAAGTTCACTAATTAGGGCCTCCCTGGTGGCGCAGGCAGTTGAGCACCACACTGTGAAGCTGCCCGCAGCTTCTGCAGCACTGGTTTGCTCCCCGCCTGCCGGCAAGGGTCCCACATTGCACAGCAGACCTCTCCTGTCTCTCCCACTGCTCCCCTCAGCAGTGTATTTCAGTCAGTCTGCCTGTTCTGTTCCTCGCTCTGTCTCTGGTGAATCCTCTCACCCTGCCGTGCATCTGGCCTGTACCCCTGGTTCTTGTATAAAACAAATAAATAAATCCTTTTTTAAAAAAAAAAGCTCACTAATTATAGTTCCAATTGGCTGCAGATGACAAAATTGAAAGGTAGCATTGAAATTCTGATTGCACATAACAAACGTGTCTTCTGAGAGTAGACAGGCATGCAGAGGAGGGCTCCTGCCTTTCATGCTCTCAGGCACTTGTCTTGAAAGAAGAGGCAGTGGGGACCGTGACCCACAGAACTGGGGAGCACAGACATCAGGACGGTGAGGCTTACATCAAGAGTGGCAGGCGCTGTCATTTACTTAAAACCTTTGCTGTTTCTATCTCTTAGTTCATTTTTTAACTTTCTTAGAAAAAGTTCTCCTGGGAAAGGGGTCCTGCTGCTTATTGCTATTGTGTGTGTGTGTGTGTGTTTGTTCATTCGTTTTTCTTTCCACAGAGAATAGCGCTGCTTCCATGTGCTGGTTGGATGGGGTGGGAGGGAGGGTGGCCGGGCAAAGGAAGGTGCTGGACGTGCGCAGGGGACAGAGAGGGTCCCTGTGGAGGGTCCCCCCGCTCTGAGGCCGGTGCCCTTGGGACTGTCCACTCCTGCCACTTGTCCTTCCTCCGTTCAGACTTGGTAATAAGGAGGCGTCTGAGATGGGAGGGCAGAGGAGAAGAGTGGCAACAGCCATCCCCTTCTAGAACCTTCTGCCAAGTTTCTCCAGTTCTGCCCCTTCCAAAAAGTACCTGCCTCCGTCTCGGCTTTTTTGTTTTTTTTTTTTAAGATTCATTTATTTGTACAAGAACTGGGGAGGGTGAGAGGATTCACCAGAGACCGTGTGTACTGAAATACTGAGTGTGTACTGAAATACACTGCTGAGGGGAGCAGCAGCGAGACAGGAGAGGTCTGCTGCGCCATGTGGGTAGCTCCCTGGCCGGCAGGGATCGAACCTGCGCTGCAAAGGCTGTGGACAGCTTCACAGCACGGCTTTTAACCAGACTTTACGACAGGTTTTGGGTAGCATTGGTGCCGTTTCCATGGTGAAATTGGTCAAAATCGAAAGAACTTGGGGTATCGTCTTTGGCGTGAATCCCACACCGGCAGGAACCCCGCCCTTCACTGCATCAGAAAACCAAAAGCGCTGAGTGCTCTTCTCACTTAGAGCTCGGAGTGTGGTGAAAGCACATCTAGAAAACTTAAATAAGGGACCAGGAAAATGAATAACTATAAGAAAGTGAAAATCAAAATCAACAAAAAACTATGAACCAGAGACACTTTTAGGGGGCGGGGGGGGAGGGAGGGATTGGGGTCAGAATGGGGGGGCTGCAATTGTATGGGGAATATAACAATAAAATTTATAAAAAAAAAAAAAAAAAAAAAAAAAAAGCAGATGGAAATAAACCCAAGTCGTGGTGGCCCTGAGCCAGGCCGAGGAGGTGCGGGCCGGAGCCACCTACCGCCAGCGTGCACACCTCCTCCCCGCTGCGGATGTCCCAGAGCTTGGCCCTCGTGTCCATGCTGCCCGTGGCCACCAGCGTGCTCTGGGGGTTGAACGATAAACACACCTGGATCACAAGAAAGGGAAGAGGTCTCAGACACATGACTCAGAAAGTGGCCATTTTCCACTGGAAAGTTGGAAGGGGCCAGACTGAGCAGATTGTGACGGACTGTTGGGAACAACATAAGGAGCCCAGCGCCGAGCAAGAGGGGTCTTCTCTCGGCAGCTGAACCCCGGGAATGTCCTCCCCTTGAGAAGAGGCCGCGTGTCCTCCTACACCAGCCAAGAACGGCAGGGTCGGCTCCTGCCACTTCTGGGTCAGGGAGAACAACAGGAGCCAAACCCACTCCTGAGAGTCAACTCTTCAGGACGCTGTAAGGCAGGGTCGAGCTGATGCCCTGAGTGTCACCAAGGGTGCAGTTACCGTTTTTCTCTGCAGTGTCCCCAGCATCTAGCAAAGTATTTTGAGCACAGCCTGAGCTCTCGTGAGATGAACATACCACGAATTTGAAGAATGAATACACACTGATTTTACCCCTAAAATAAGCAGCCTGTTTATCTTTAGAGGCCATCATTTTCCTCTAGGGAGCCAATTATCTCAGTAATTGTTATAGGATATAACACAGAATTGGTCAACACCAAGGGCTTCCCAATAGTGAAAACTATTTAGAGCATCAACTATTTATGCAAATTTGAGTTCTAATGACAGGTAAAAAACAAGCAGCCTAAATATTTTAGATGATTTGAAAAGGCTATTTTAAAAAGCGTGTTTGAGAGCAACACACATTGAGTTCAAACTTTAGGGACAATTCAGTGAAAAAGAAAAAGGTCAGGGTGGGTGCGGTTCTCACACCCTTAACCTATCACACTGTATGTTCAGTCAACACAGGATGCAGGATATGGGTCTCTGCGATTCTGCGAGCCACTGAAACTAAAGCTTGTGAATTCTATCGAGCACCATATAAACTACAGGGAGAGACAAACAAGACAGGGTGGAATTGTTTAATTAATTATAAAATGAATTATAACCTATAATCCCAAATTTACCTAATGATATCCTGTGTAAAATAATTATAAAATTTAGGAGGTAAAATCATGACTTTATAATGGAATCATTGGGGACCGCCATACCAGAGGCTTCTTGGGGTCTTTTGAGAAAAGATTTCACAAAGCACCAGAATAAAGTCAGCAACAAAGCTGATTAGAAAGCAGTGGACAGTCTTGGACAGCTGAGACCTGCCCCAGCAATAAAGCTGCAGGACTGTTAAGGTTGGTTTTCTTCCTGGCTGGGGAGGGATCCTTCTTAATTATGCACCTTCCCCCATCACTTCTGATTTCAACTACCCTCCCTGCCTCCCTCTTTTAGAGTCTGGGGAAACTGTAGTTAAAAGACTCTTCCCAGCCTCCCAGATCTGCCAGGTCTTATCTGGTCCTTGGAACAATGTCCAGCTGGCCTACAGGTGGCTGAGGACAGTTGTATCCCCCAGGCAAGCATACGAGAGCCCTTTCTGCCCCTAAGAGAACCTAACGAGAAACAGCAGTGATGCCTCAAGGTGGAAATTGTAACAAATGCGCCCTGTAGAGCAGGTACTGATACTGGGGGTGCTGCAAGTGTCTTGGGGAGAGAGAATTATCAGCCCCTTCTGCCTAATTTTGCTGAAAACCTAAAACTGCTCTAAAAATAAAGTCCATGAAACAAAGAGAAATGTTTAAAAAAACAGCAGCATAAAAATAATAAAATGAATATACTCACTATTTCTGCTGTATGGCCCCGAAAGGTATGATAACATTTCCCCGTCTCCACACTCCATAGTTTACATGTCTTATCAAAGGACCCAGTGGCAATTTTATCACTAAGGTTTAAAAAAAAAACCTGGATTTTGAAATCAGATTCAGCCAAGTCTATGATACACTGAATTAAGACAGGATATATTAATACAACACTCCCTACTTAAAAAATTTACTTCACTTTTCAGCAATAAACACAATAATTATATTAGTGGTGAATAAAAAGTGGTCTGACTTTTGCGTGGTATTTAATTTTTTAAATTATACATTAAAGGTAGAAGTTGAAGATTAAAAATATTTTAATTATCACAATGGTTATGGCGAGAGATTTTATTTAGAACATTACTAACAAGTAATAGCATCCAGCGAGATGCCTCTCCCGTCAGCAGCTCATGGCTTTCTGCTTCTGCCAACGGTACTGAAAGCCTGCGAGCTCTACACTAAGTGTCCTCGCTCTGTCCCTCTCCTTCCTGCCCCTCAAAAACATCAGTCTCACACAGCTGTGGCTTTTAAATCATTTGCTGTTCTATCACATACTGTAAAAGTTATCACATTGTAAAAGTGATCACTAATTTCAATGTTTTAGAATTTCTTTATTTAATCAAAATGTAATTTTGAACTAATGTATAAAACATATAAACTCTAAAGTAGTTTACATTTATTTTCCTCTCTCCCTCACCCCCATTATCACCAAACACATTCCCGCTTACTCTTTGGATCTCTTAAATTCACTTTGCTGAAACCCTTTTAAAAAAATCCTTAAAGAGTTTAAACATGCCTGCAGAACAATCTGAACAAAGGGCTTTCTAAATTTGTACAAAGTGTTCTCCAATTCAATGATCTCATCGACAACTTTCTACAGCAATTTTGTACTGTTATTCAGCAAATTATCATATACATTATTCTACCTGGTAATACTGTGCAGTTACTTCTAAGCAAAGTAGATAATGCTCATAGCCGCATTATTCACAATAGGCAAGACATGGAATCAACTTAAATGCCCCTCACCATGTGAGTGGTTAAAGAAGTGGCAGTACATATACTCAGTGGAATACTACTCAGCCGTCAAAAATGAAATTGTGCCTTTGTGACAATATGGATGGGTCTTGAGGCAATTATATTAAGTGAAATAATCAGAAAGTGAAAGACAATTATGGAATGGCCTCATTCATTTTCATACTATACAGAAAACAAAGAGCAAAAATAATTCTTAGGCTCTGAAAAAGATGATAGTTACCACAGGGTACAGAAAGGGGTGTAGATGGGGTCAAAGCCATTTGTGATGGGACTGGAGCTCTGGTGGAGGGTGAGTGGAGCATGTGTAATTGCCAAAGTGTACAGCTATACTCACGAAATTATATCGTTTTGTCAACAAATGGTAAATCAAATCGACTTACAAATAAAGTGTTGTAGGGCCTTCCTGGTGGCGCAAGGGGTTAAGCACCGCACTATGAAGCAATCTGCAGGCTCTGCAGCACGAGTTCGATCCCTGGCTAGCCAGGGAGCAACTCACATGGCACAGCAGACCTCTCCTGTCTCGCCGCTGCTCCCCTCAGCAGTGTGTTTCAGTCAGTCTGCCTGTTCTGTGCCCCACTCTGTCTTTGGTGAATCCTCTCACCCCCTGCATCTCTGGCCTGTACCCCAGCTCTTGTATGCATAAATAAATAAATCTTCTAAAAAAATAAAGTGTTGTAAATAGTAAAAAAATAAATAAAAAGCAAACCACGTTGAATCTGCCCGTTCTGTAGAAGCTGCGGTCAGGGGGTGCACAAGGGCTGAGAGTCACCTTTTCTCTCTACTTCTGCTGTGGGGGCAGAAAGTTCTGGACAAGATAGTGGGCCATGGGCAGGAATGCCTGTCCCAAAGCTCTATTAGGCAGTGAAGGGCGTATTTTAAAGGCTTCCAAAGCCCGCAGCAGGCACACAATAAATTTTAGTTCTTTTACAGTCTCCTCTAGATGGGGAAGGATGATGAGATGAGTTCGTGGGTTAATGATGGACCAGGTGAGTGAGGGGATGTCTCCTTACCCGTAAGGATTGTTGAATGCGATGGCATAAACCACGTTCCTGTGCCCCTCCAGGGTGTGAAGCTCTTCTCCCGAGGCAGTGTCCCAGAGCTTGCATGTCCGGTCATAGCTCCCGGTGATAAAGCTGCCGAGGGTAGAAATACACGACAGGTGAGAACAGCGGTGTGCTAACAGCTGGTTTTCACCTGCAGGACTATACATAACCCCGTGTGTTTTGCTTTTTACGGTGGATTTGTGCATGCAGAACAAACGGTTCAATAGCGAACAATATCAAAATCCTTTGACTTAGAAACTCTAAAATTGTATTGCAAACCCCCAAAAAGAAGAGCCACTCAGAGAGCAACCCTTCTAGTAATTGTTTTTACAATACAAATAATATTATTAGGGCATCCCCTGATGGCACAGGTGGTTGAGCGCCACGCTGTGAAGCTGTCCACAGTTTCTGCAGCGCCAGTTCAATCCCAGCGAGAATCCCACATGGCGCGGTAGACCTCTCCTGTCTCGCCCGCTGCTCCCCTCAGCAGTGTACTTTGTCAGTCTGCCTGTTCTGTTCCCCGCTCTGACTCTGGTGAATCCTCTCACCCTCCCGTGCATCTGGCCTGTACCCCTGTACTTGTATAAATAAATAAATAAAATATTTAAAAAAAAACAAATAATATTATTAAATGATGCTGATAAGCAGTGACGCTTCCTGAATTTCTGATCTACCCCAATAAACCGGGACATTTTCCCCGTTGGTTACATCACAAAATCCTCACTTCATCTGGATCCCTTTCTGTGGCCCCATCCACCCCCCATCTTGGTAAATTCTGTTAGTACAGACTCAAAACCCCTCTAATCAGGTAGGGTGCTGAAATTAAAAAAAAAAATCCACCTATTATTTACTCAACTGCTACTTTTAACAAAAATGCTTGGAAGTAGTGTGAAACCCCTTAACCTTTGTACACTGCTGATGGGAACATAAATAGGTACTGTTCATATGGAAAACCTTATAAAGGTTCCCCCAAAAATTAAAAACAAAACTATTCTGTGATTCCTCCAGTCCCATTTTTGGGTATACCATCAAAGGAATGAAATGGAGATTTGGAGAGCTAGCTTGCATTGTTATTCACCATGATCAAAGTAAGGAATGACCTTACGTGTGTGTAAAGGGAGGAAGGTATCACAAAAAGGTGGTGTATGTGTATATACGATGGGATATTATTTGGCCAAGGAAATCCTGCCGTTGTGACAACAATAAACCAGACGTGGAAGAAAATAAAACTCAGAGGTTAGAATGGTGGTTCCTGGAACTGGTGCGAGGGAGAAGGGGGAGACATGGTGAGAGGGGACAGAGCCACAGTCACATAAGAAGAGTTGGTCCAGGGACTTCATGTTCGAGCATGGCAGCTGTGGGCAGTAATACGGTACTGAGTGTATCGGATACCGGAAATCTACTAAAAGCACAGATTTCACACTCAGTGCACACAAAACATGGTAACTTGTGGTGATACGTTCATTAACTTGAGTAGTAACGACTTCACTCTGTGTACGTATACCATCACCATGTTGCACACTTCTAATATACATAATTTTTATTTTAAAAAAGAGGTTTTCATCTCTTAGACATCAGGAATAGAAATGAAGCCTTGCAGGGCACAGAGGGTGTTTAGGGTAGTGAAACCGCCTTAGAGTCCCCTAACGCCACAATTTGTCAACCCCCAGAACGTACAAAACCAAGAGGGAGACCCTGTGTGTGAACTGTGAACTCTGAATGATGATGGTCAGTCTTACAGCTTCATCAGCTGTACCAAGTGCATGGCTTTGTGGGGGTACTACTGGTGGAAGGCAGAGAGGCTGGGCAGGTGAGAGGCCAGTGGAATGCGGGGCATTTCTGCCCAATGATTCTGTTAACCTAAAATTGCTCTTAAAAAAATTAATGAAAAAAAATGTTTTAAATAGAGATCCTTACCATGAGCCCGATTTATTTAACGCGACATTGGTCAATGGCAATATATGTGCCCTGAGAACCTTCAATGAAAGAAAACAATGACAGTGTCATTCACTCATTTTAGCTTCAATGAAGACATTCAAATTTGTCTTGATTATAAAGAAAAATGAACAATATCCAATACTGCAATGAATGAGAAAAAAATGCATTGTTCCATCTATCATTAAGACCAAAAATTCATCTCGTGGTTACATAAATCACCAAAAAATGTCATTGGATATATGTTTTTCATTCATTTCCCCTTGAGTTACATTATGAGTATTAAATAAAATACCAAGTAATGGAAGCTTACAATACTTCATTTCTATAGGGACAGTGCTGATAAGAATGACACTAAATATCCTGCAAAGATAGAATTTTATGATGTATTATTATTACTTTTTTCAATCCTAAAGCTCCCTCAGAGTCATGCTGTCTTTTTTGCTTTTCAATCCTTACATTCTCTAGCAGGTATGTAAATTGGGTAGTTTGCTTATAAGTAAGAGAGATTTGGAGGGACTGGACAGTGTCAGTTTGTTTACTGCCAGAGTGTAACTATCAATTGCATCTCCTGTCACTGTCACAAATGGTCCGGTCCCTCTGGAAGATGAATTACAAGGTCACCCTCCTTAGAGATCACATTTGAAGCTAAACAGCGCTACCTGCTGGATTAAAAAAATTACAGGAATAACTTCATTCTCTTCCAGTAAATTGAATGAATGCCAAAAATTGCCTGGATTTTTTGCCGAGTATTTCAATAATAATCATATTTTACTATAATTATATTTAAATTATAAAAATAAAGTCATTTTGATACTAGAAAAGTGTAATAATAGAAGTCAGTGTAATAATAGAAAAGCTATTAAATATTGCTAAATAATAAAGTTGTTCTTGAAGTGATAAATGACTACCTGTGTTACATACACTCTTAATCATGAGAAACTTTAGGAAAAGTATGCGTATTCACATTGCCCTATCAACAAATCATTTACTTAAGTACAGTTTCATTCACATGAATGTGAGCTGGAAGAACATGTTGCTCAGTAATTTAAAGCGACCTCAATAGCTACTCTGTCAATTTGTGATAATAAAGAAGAGCTAAACCCACCACAGATCTTTATTTAAACTCTTAAGAAATAAATGTGTGTGGTTCATCCAGTCAACAAACATTTATTGAGTCTAGTCTCAGCAAATATATGCGAGACATTGAGGGAAAAGCATTTTTTTCTCTTTTTTTTTAATCTCATATTAATAGAGCATCACTTCATTCATTGAAATCCTTCTAACTACTATTGCTAAACATGCATTACCTTAAAAAGGTAGAATTTGTGTGTGCTGTGCTGGCCGAGTTTATATTGCAGTCTCTGTATTAAGAGTTTCACTTGGTCTGTTCTGGAAGCTGTGATGAGAGGCTCTGCTACTTGTATCTCTTCCACTAAGGCATTGACATCAGTGCTGAAAACCCACCAAAACCAAAGACAAACATTACTTATGTCTATGTCAAAAATAAGGTAAACTTCCATTACATGAAGAAATTGCACTGCTTTAGAAGGACACTTATAAAATGCCAAGACATCATCTTCACCCAGAGAATTTCTGGGGCAAAGCACACAGAGCACTGAGGGCTTAGCAGCACCAGGGAAGTTGGGGGTTGGGAGGGGCAGGCGGGGAGCTCCAGAGTACTTTCCTTGGTGGGGACCCAGCTCTCTGGAAGAGCCCAGAACTCCCCTAAGGTCAGGCATACTGGTCCTGAACATGAGTGCTGGTCTTTTCCTGTTTTTTTCTTTCTTTTAAATGAACACCTTGAAGGACCCAGCCCTACTTTACTTTTCTCTTTACATGTTTTGTTTCATTAATCCTGTAAAGACTCTCTAACTTAATGCTTTCATTATGATTTTAGTTCAGGTGTGTCCCACTGAACCATCTTAACAAAGCTAGATCTTAGGTCTCGTCTTCCCTGAACACAGATCAAACAAGGACTGGTGCAGATGAAGGTCACTGATCTTTTCTGTGCTGTTCTTTAATTAAAAAAAAAAAAGAAAGAAAAGAAAAGAAAATCCTACGGAGAGAGCCTTCTCTGTGCCAGGGACTTGTAATAAGAGCTGTGCTCCACCAACGCCTCCATGCTCCAGCCACAGTCTGTCCTCGCCCTAGGACAACAGCCCCGGGCCCCACTCCTGCTCTGGCGGCCCTGGACAGCACCCGGATGTCTGAGCTGGTTTTCTCACCAGAAACACCCACTCACCGCTGACTTCCAGCTGCAGGAGGTGCCTTGCCCTGCAGCCTTTGTTGTTGTCCTCACTAATCATCTCCAAGCGGAAGGAGTATCGCATATATCATGACATTTTTGTTCTATGGTTTATTTCCTCCTGTTGAGGACACCTTCGCCTAATCCAAACTTGGGCTCCTGCGGGTGTAACCACAGTCTGGGGCGTTTCTTCCAGGGGGGTTTTGCATAAGGTCCCCTAAAGGGGACACACCGGCAGTAGGCCCTCACAAGGGCACATCCTCTGGGTGCACCTGCCTCCCAAGACAAAGGACCTCCCCACACCCCGTGACAACCAGGAGCATCTTGTGCTCAGTCATAGTCTCAAAATTCAATAAACTGTACTCCTCAAAAGGTCACGATCATCAAAAAAGAAGGAGTCTGAGGTAGGGTAAATGGTTTTCAGGCTTTTCTGCCCTCCCACCATTAGGATTGCCCTGCCTGATGGGGAACCTGCAGTTGTTACATTGTTATAAGCTGCCTTGTTTACTTGTGGGCCATGGGAAGAGTATTGAGATAGTTACCTAGAGAAGTACAAGCAGGGAAGAGGCAGGAGTGAGAAGTGTGTTAAAGAAGGCCAGAGAAGCACTGAGTGAAGACTTGCCAGGGGCTTGAAGGCCTGGTGGCCTCCTGGCACCACTCCCCCCACCCCATACCCCCCACCCCTCCCCCACCCTGCACCACTGACTGCCATGTACCTGGTTGCTGCACTACATGTAAAAGCTCAATAAAAGCCTGAGAAACCCACCAAGGGCTCCAGGACTCTCCTTTACCCTGTGTGCGTGGATCATAGATACCTGCTCAGTGCCCATCCTGGCACTACACAGAGCCAGCGTTGGCCTGAGGTGCTTAAGAGCCAGGACGCGGATGCAGCGTGGAGGCCAGGATGGGACCCTGGAGGAGGGCAAGAATCAGGCTAGACTATGGAGAAACCCAGTAAAATGTGGTTTAATTATCAGTTATCAACACTGGTTTACTAATTGTGACAAACGTACCAAACTAAGAATCCAAGATGTTAAAAGAGGGGAATCTGGGTATGGCACTTGTGGGGTCTTTTCACAACTCTTTGAAAACTTCACTAAAGGGTTTATTCTTTAAAGTCTGCTTAGGAAGAAGAGGGGCTCACTGATGAATTTTTTCCCACCTCTTCCTTTAGCAAGGCCCTCAGGTGGAACCCACTGAAACAAGCAGGAAATAATACAAGACAGAAGAGCAATTTTATTTTATTTTTTAGCAATATATTGTCTGTAGTTTATGTGGTTTATCCTCATCAGACACCCCATATCAGGGTGTCCAGTAAAAAATCCCTGGACAGGACATCCACACGGCCCCACACAGCGAGCTTACCCTGGATTGAGATCGAGCAAGTCTATAGATTTTGTCTTTAGTTCTCCACTCTTTTCATATTCCAGCAAGATTCCTGCAACAGCAAGCAGACAGGTTATAAAACATGCAGGATGGCAGTGATGCTGAGAGCCGGTCCACTTGGACATACTGATTTTTCATTTTTGTTTTCCAATTTTTTTAATTTTTTAAAAAGATTTATTTATTTATACAAGCACTAGGTACAGTCAGAAGCGTGGGAGAGTAAGAGAATTCACCAGGGCCAGAGTGGGGAACAGAACAGGCAGAAGGACCGAAGTACACTGCTGAGGGGAGCAGCGGGCGGCAGGAGAGGTCTGTGCGCCATGTGGGACCCTCGCCGGCAGCTGGGATCGAACCCGCGCTGCAGAGGCAGCGGGCAGCTTCACAGCCCAGTGCTCAACCACTGCGCCACCAGGGGAGGCCCTCCAATTTTTTTTAAAGATTTATTTATGCATATAAGAACTGGGGTATGGGCCAGAGGTGTGGGGGTGAGAGGATTCACCAGAGACAGAGCTGAGAGCAGAACAAGCAGATGTACTGAAATACACTGCTGAGGGGAGCAGCAGGTGAGACAGGAGAGGTCTACTGTGCCATATGGGTCAGCTCCTTGGCCAGGGATCGAACTCATACTGCGGTGGCTGCTGATAGCTTCGTGGTGCTGTGACTTAACCACTTTCACCACCAGGGAGGCCCCTGTTTTCCAATATATTTTTTTTAATTTTTCAAGATGAAACAAAAGTAGTTGTCCCTGATTCTGAAACAACATTGCACAGCCACCCCTCCTCCCCACCCCCGGTCCTCCTCACCTAACAGCTAACTATACCTGCGAGCAGATGTGCAAACATCAGCCAAGGTTGAGTAGGAAAAGGTGGGTGGTGAGCGGCCTCAGGGCTGGAGACTGGGTTTTCTTTCATTTCTCATACACCCCCCAATCGGGGACTAGAGACACTTGAAGCCTAGGAACCCCCAACTCATAGACAACAAGAAATACAATAGCAACAACAAAGCTTGCTCTCTGTGGCCAAAGAACCAGAAAGTGGGGAGTCAAAGAACTGAAGGGGAGCCCTGAACCCTTCTCCACCAAGAGGAGCCCTGCAGGCAGCTCCGCACACACACACACCCCAACTGTGGAGATCCCTGAGCTGCCCCAGTCCCCACCACACAAGCTGGGGCCCCTGAGCATCCCATCAGCCTGCAGCAGCCCCGGCAGCAAAGCCTCAGAACTTCTCAAGCTTTGCTCCTCGGCTGGGACACCAGTGGGCCTTCTGCCTCCAGCAGCCTAGGCCAAGCCCCAAATCCCACAGAGCCGCCCCTACAGGAGCCTGGGTGGGCAGTCCCAGCCTTGCAGAAGGGGCAGCAGTGACACCCCAGGCCCCATTCCATAACCAGGCACCCCCAAAGCAGCATTCCCTGCCCAGTGGCAAAGCCAGGCTCAGGGGTTTGCTCCCCACCCCACCTCCCAAGGTCACCCCGTGACAGCTGGCCACCCCCAACCCAGATATCCTAAGAAAATGCATATAAAAATGAGCCAATGCATGAATAAGATTCTGCTTTATTTATGCTACACTATCCAGTTTCTAATAAAATGAAAATATTAAAAGTCTTGAATTCTCCTACTAAAAATTGGTTGGGTTGCTGTACAAGTTGATCTAGAAAATAAGATGCCAAATCTGAAATCAGTGCTGTTGGTGGCTGCACTGTGACCAGTCACCACGGCCATATGTTCACCCTTCCCACATCACCGCACTCAAGAGGAGCAAGGGGCTGTGATGCCTGCCGGGAAAAATACAAACAGCAAATGAAGACGCTTCCATAAATCTGTTGTCTTCAGTGATTGTTTCCCACACTGTCTTAGTATGCTTGGTCTTCCCCTGCCTGTGAACCATTATGCAATAGGTGTAACTTCCAAAACACTTAGGTAACAAGCCTCTACCCCCAAAATTCTGCAATGTACTGAATAAAAGACCAAGCTCAAAAGATCTGAGTATTCCTTACCCAGATCATAGTCAGCAATAGAAATCTTGAAAGTGTTCAGAATATTAACCAGTATAATTCATGCTTATTAAGCATTAATAATGTTCACAAATGCTTATAATACTAACAGATGCTTATCCTTCTCATGGCCGAGGAACGAGGGGATTGCACACAATAAATAAAAGATAAAGACTGGCATAACTGAGTCAGCTGAAAAGCATGCATTCAACACCTACTCTTCACATTTTGAAGAGCCTATGAACTAATGAATGTGGCCAAGCTAAAGGGAGAATGCACTGTGATTGATAAGCCATGTAACTGCCATGGACATTTAGGATCAAGAACTTAGGTAGGGAGGGGCCCTATGTACGCACCTGCCTTCACTCATGCTAGAGATACAGAGATAAGTCAGAGAATGCCAACAAGAGAACACTCTAGAGCACTTTGCTATTCAAAGGTAAGTGGGAGGGCCGAAATAAAGAGGATTAGGAAGTTACAAAATTGCTTTAGCTGCAAAAGGGATAAAGGCCAGGTTGGCATGATTCAGGGGTGAGTGATAGTCTCCCTATTTGACCATGTTATTGTTAACACCCACCTGCATATCAGCAGTCCTGGGAATCTTGCATATAATAAGGCTCACCAAAGATTGGAATTCAGAAATTAAGTGTCGAGCTATCTAAATGAGATGGAGCCTCATTCTGGGATAAGCATTAAGAGTTGCAAGCAGGAATCGAAAGCCTTTCTGGAACGGAAGACTGCTGTTAGAACCCTGGGCTTTCAGAGCCAGAAAGGACTTCGAGACCACCTCTTTGACCCATCCCCAGCCCACAAAGAGCCATAGGCTTTCTGTTTAACTCATGCCATGAGTTAATCTCATTAAATGATTCATTGATCACAAAGAGCGAGCTGATGAAGCCTCAGAGGAGGAAGACAGGCAACCAGGAAACAGTCTTCCAAGGAGGGTCACTCCAGAGAAAGAGTCCCACCCACAGGATGGTCCCTGGAGGGGTGGGTGGCCAGGAGTGCTGGTGTCCTCCCATCACTGACAGAGAGGAAGAGCAAAGCAAACTGCGCAAGCCACAATGTGTGTGTGTGCGTGTGCGTGGTTACAGTCAGTTATTCTGACTCCAGAACTCACATTCTTGGCCTGAACTCTACCATGAAGGATGAAAGGCAGATAGACAGATGATCGTCGGACAGTCTGGGGGCAGCAGCAGCGCCTTCCAGCAAGCCCAGCCCAAGCAGATGTGCAGAATGCCTAGAGAGCAAGCCATTCATCTTCATTTAAAACTTCCTCTAGATGACCTCTCTATTCAGACCTTTTTTGTGTTATCTTAATTGGAATTCTAAGAGGGGAGGAAATGAGTGTTTTCCCAGCAAATGCCAGCTTCACGCTGGCAGACCTTGCCTTCCAGGCCCACTTAGGCAGGCGGCAGCAGAGGTAGCAGCCCTGGAGATCTTCAACACTGTTCATGAGCATTTCCACACCTGGGTGGACCTCGCACATCAGACACCTCCGTGTGCCTGCACAAGCACTTCATAAACCCTGAAGGCGCCCCCCTCCAGAGGTGCCCCCTTCCTCTGGAGCTGGGAACTCAGCAGCCAGCAAAAGAGGCCAGGTCTCAGTCCCCAGGAGCTTCCGGTCCATGGGAAAGAGGCAGGTATTTACAAGGGAAACAATAAATAGACACCAGAAGATGATAAAGTACACCCAGACAGGCAGAGAGAGAAATCTAGGAGGGGCAGGCTGCTCCGCGCGCTGGGGCAGGAAGGTCTCCAAGTAGATGACACTGACTGGGGCCAACTGGGAAGGCTAGGCCAGGGCCAAGAACAATGGCGGGGATGTCTCCCCTTTGTCTTGGAAGAGCAGTCAGGCAGTCTGAAGTGGAGGGAGGGGAGAGTGTAGGGTAAGAAGAAGTCTGGAAGAGGATGAAATAAAAAAAAAATAAAAATACCACTGAGAGCCCTTGAAAAGTTAGCGACCTCCACCCCAACCGTCTTCAGAGTCACAGGTGCAGGTGCTGGTTATTTTGTTCCCTATCTCCTGCTTGCTCTTCACCCTGGATGAGGGTGCCCTTCACCCCTGGCTCGCTGCACCCCACCTTCCACCTGTGCATTCAGTTAAAATGTGTCTGGGGTTTTCACTCTCCCCAAGTAGGAGCCTGGATGCTGAGGCAGCTGCCTGTCCATGCCAGGCGCTGGCCTGTGTCTCCTCTCTGAGCAGGTCGGAGCCTGCAGCGTCAGTGCCAGCTACGGGGTCTCCAACACAAGCCTGTAGGGGACGAAGGTGAACGCCAGGACTCCAGGCCACGCGCCATCGGAGGACACGCCACAGGCGCAGGCAGAGGAAGAATGGCAGGGAATTTCACTACTGCAGTATCCTTGGTTGAGTGTGCATTTTCTTTGCACACCCCACGCTGCGGGACTCGATCACTCTGGTGTGTCTGAAGGAAAAGGCAACGCGTCCCTCTTGTGGGTTCCCTTCCCAGAAATGAGCATCCCTGGAAATCACCAACCCCCACCTCTCCCTCCCTTCGCTTGCTATTGAAGCAGCGGAAAGCATCACAACTCAGCAGTTCAAAAGGCTGACGACTTCCTGAAAGAGTCCTTCGAGAAGTTTTGAGGGGCAGCGTCCGGCGTCCGCAGAGAGCAGCCCAGTGGGCAGCGCCCCATCCCCGCCGCGCGTGCAGGCGCCCGGGGCCCGGCTCGCTCCGCCGCCCTCGCCCCTCCCAGCCGGGCCGCGAGGTGCGGGTGCGGGCCGAGCAGTACCTGGGGGGTAGTACCGGAGCAGGAGGCTCTTGAGCTTCATCGTGTGGTTCCCAGAACCCGGGTCGGCCGGACGCGTAGCCATGGGAACCGCCAAACAAGCGTGTGCGCGTGCGCAGAAGCCTCCGCGGGCCCCCGGGCGCCGAGCTGGGAGCGCAGATTTGGGGGGAGCCGCCTGCCGGCGTAGGGGCGGGGTTCGAGGTGGTTCCCAGCGCAGCTCGGCGCCTTCGGGGAGAAGGACCTGCTCCCGCCGCTCGCACATGCCCCGCAGCTCTGGGGGGCGAGCCGGGGCCAGGGCTCAGCTCCACGCCCCTGCACCCCACCCCAGTCTGCTCCCCCTTATCCTCATTAACGGGGATCTCATGGGGGCGAGATCTGGAGGGGAAACCAGGGCGCGCTTAAGCCCCCTGGGTTCCCAGTAAGGAGAGTTGGAAGGAAAATCCCGTTCCTGACAGCCCTCCTGACCCTTCCCGTGCCCTGTCCCTGCGCCCTCAGAAGAATGAGGGGCCTCCTTGGTGGTGCAGGGTTAAGTCTCAGCGCTGTCAAGCTATCCGCAGCCACTGCAGCGCGAGTTCGATCCCCGGCCAGGGAGATACCCACATGGCGCGTCAGGCCTCTCCTGTCTTGCCCGCTGCTCCCCTCAGCAGTGGATTTTGGTGGATCGGCCTGTTCTGCTCCCCCTCTGTCTCTGGTGAATCCTTTCACCACCACCCCACCTCTAGCCTATACCCCAGATCTTGTGTGTATAAATAAAATAAATCTTTTTTAAAAAATAAAGAAAAAGGACCTGGTCAGTAGCATCCATTTCCTGCAGAGGCGCCTCGCGCTGCAGCAAGCGCTTTGCACACCTTTGCTCTTAGAGTCCAGACACAGGTATAGGTGGGCATATTTCCTACCTGCCCTTGTGGGAGAAGTACCCAGGTCACGCTGGAGCCAGAGCAGGAGGAGGGACGGGAAGGCAGGTGGTCTGCAGCCTCACCTGTGCCAGCAACCCTCAATTTCAGGCTGGAAGGTCTTCCTTTGGCTTGTTCTATTTCTTGCCAGTATAGGTCTTTGCTTGCCAAGAGAAATTTGGCAAGCACACAGAAAAATGCCACGGAAGGAAGACTGAACTGGAAGACTCTCCTAACCAGCTTGTGGACTTTTTTTAGGGAATTTAGGCTAAATCCCTCACTGAATTTTCCAAGCTTAAACAATGCCTGTGTTAGCATCACAAATGAGATACATCTCCTACCCCCCCCAGGTGCCATGCCTGAGTTTTCTTTAAGTTCTTACAGTGTCTCTAGATATTACTGGGTAAGCCAAATAGGACAAAGTCATCTAATGCCTTTCCCAGGAGGAAAGGGAGAAACTTTGTGGAGTGTCTCAGGAGCTCTGCTGAGGTTCCACAAAATTTCCTTGTATCAACCAAATGACAGGCTACCAAATTTTTACTTGAATTTAGATTTCTGCCACTTTTTTTAATTTTCTTTTTATTTTTACAAGAGCTGGGGCCAGATGCACGGGAGGGTGAGAGGATTCACCAGAGACAGAGCGGAAACAGAACAGACAGACGGATGAAATACACTGAAGGGAGCAGCAGGCGAGACAGGAGAGGTCTGCTTGCCATGTGGGTGTTCCCAGGCCGGCGGGGATCGAACTGGCACTGCAGAGGCTGTGGACAGCTTCACAGGCCTGCACTCAACCACCTGCGCCACCAGGGAGGCCCTAGATTTCTGTCACTTTTAATGGCCAATAAGAAGTTCAGGCATTTTCCAACCAATTGGCAAGTTTCCTTTACAGCTGATGAGAAAGTTCAAAGTAATTTTGACAAAACCAACTAAGCCTGATCCGAGAAGTCCTCGAATGTGATCCCAAGAGGTCAGCGAATTCAGAGGAAGAAAAGGCCTCCTTCGAGTGGAGAACACTCTCTTCAGCTTACTTTACATCCCATTTTCACAGTGACAGGTAGATACTGAACGAGCTGTCTGACTAAACACATAAAAATTAGAAAAATACCAAACTTTTAAATAACCAAGACCTGATTCCAGATACTTGCTTGAATTCCTCACACAGGCACAACGTTCAGAATCACCAAGCTATTTGCACCAAGTGAGGACCAAGTAAGGGAAGGAGAACCCCAGTCCAGGCCCGCTGCTCTCATAGGGCCCAGCCAGCCCTTCCAGCCACCTGCGCGTGTCCAGAGTCAGGGTTGTCCTAGGGGCCCCACAGCCAAAGCGCCTGAGCTTACCCTGGATGTCAGGGTGAGACTGGAAGAGGAGAGTCACAAGGAACTCAAGCCCGAGCTAGCCAGTGTGGACAAGAAGCGCTCATGGCCTGGCTTTAGGGTTAGGAAAGCACCTGTCTGCTCCCCACTGTCAGCTGCTCCTGGGCTCCTGCAGGGAAACAGTGACAGGGGCTGCTTCTCAGACCATGGGTTGGCAGCTACAGGTCCCCAACTCAGTTACTACTGTCCCCAAGGGGCTTTCAGATGAGACAAACACGGAACCTCTCTCCATTTTAACCACATCTCTGGCTTCCAAAAACGAACAGGAAACTCCCAATACCAGACATCCAACGAAAATACCCAATGCTTCCCAATTCCCACTCCCTCAGGCCTGACACACCACAGGAGCCCCAAATGGAGGGAGACTCACAGACTCCCTCCCAAACTGAGGGGAACTGGACTTGTCCCTGATGGGGACTCCGATTCCTCCCAAAGGTGTGGAGGCGAGGGGCTGGGCAGGCACGCACCCAGGGAACTGACACCCAAAGCCAGGGGACCTCGGTTTTCCACCAGGGTTCCACCTCCTCCAAGGTGAATCCAGGGGCAGAGAAAAGCTGCGCCTCTCCCAGGGAGGACTTGACATGCCCCACCCCACCCCAGAAGACACCCCACCGCTGCTGGGACGCCCCCTCCCCCTGGAGAGAGGGCGCTCCCTCTGAGCACCAGGGTCAGGCAGCCCCCCAGGGATGCCCAGGCGATGGGGGTGGCCTGGCGCGCTGCCACTTCGGGCTGAGTCCGCAGCCGCAGCCGGGAGAAGGCCGGCGAGCCGGGCGCCCCTGCGTGGGACGGCGGAGTCCGCGGAGACTGAGCAGTGGTTCCCCCTGGAGGGAGCGGGGCTGCGGGGGGCAGTCGCGAGCCATCCTGGGGCTTGGGGCGTGCAAAGGAGCTGCCTGAGCGCAGGGGCCGCTGACAGCAGGGGCCATGAGAGCCTGGTGCGGCGGGAAGGCAGTGAGCACCCCTGGGGCTGGGCTGTTCCCCACAAGAGAGCTGAGTGTCTCAGACCTCAGAGTGCGCGCAGCTGGGGTGGGGGGGTGGGGGTGGGGGTGGGGGTGGCTTGTGCTGAGTCCGCAGCCAGGAGAAGGCCCCCGCCAGCCGCCCCTGCATGGGACGGCGGAGTCCACCAGGACTGAGCAATTGTATGGGGAATATAAAAATAAAATTTATTATAAAAAATAAATAAATAAATTATAGAATCAGTTTCTCTAAAAAAAAAAAAACAAAAAGACTGAGCATTGGTTCCCCCTGGAGGGAGCGGGATTGTGGGGGGCAATCTAGAGCGATCATGGGGGGCGGGTGCAAGGGAGCTGCTCATCAGCCCTCGGGGTGCCCTGGCTGGAAGGGGCGCGTTTCCGCTGTGTGGATGGTGAGTGTGCTCGGTTGCGCCGTTCGCCGGTGAGGGTCATGGCCGCAGGGTTCACCCGCCAAGACAAGCCCGGGGGAGAGTGTCCAGGTGTGGCAAATTGCCAGGTGGGAGGGGTCAGGGAAGGGTGCTTCCTGCAGGGTTTGCGCAAACGCCTTTGGGGCAAATTAGCAGCTGTGAAAAGAAGGAGCCTCTGGGAGTGTGGGGTTCACCTCAGCCGCCTGAGGGTGGACCCCTGGGGGAAGGGGTGGGCACACCTGCGTGGCACACCTGAGCCTGGGGGCTGCGAAAATACAGGCTGCGGCAGAGAGCAAGGAGCAGGAGAGAAGCAAGGGGAGCACAGCAGCTGTAACTAAGGTGCTGGGAATGTGGGTGCAGGGGGTAGAGGGTCCAGGGGGTAGGAGGCCAGGGGGGTTCTGATCTCGGGGCACCCCGTTTCCAGGTTTTTCACTCTTGTCCGCCATCAATTCTTCCAAGGTGGGAAACTCCACTGGAGACATGTTTGTAATTGCACTTTGGCAGGGGTGTGTGCTTTTGTTCTTTTGACTCCTTCTTTCATCACTGCTGATAACGGGAGGACCCCGCCCCCAGCTCTGCAGCTCGGCCTGACTCCAACCCCTAACCACCAGCCACAGAGCAGACTCAGGGGTGTCAAAGTCGGGGCCACCGTGTATTGCGCTGCACCATGATGTGCAAAGAGAAACGTTCTGTGTGGAGCCGAGAGCCTTCATTTTCCTCAGAGTGTATTTTGAGTAACAGCTGCTTTTGAATGTTTGCAGTAGGATCCATGTCAGGATCTGCAGGTAAATGACGTTCTAGTCATGCTTTATTTTATTTTATTTTATTACAGATTTATTTGCTTATGAATACAAGAGCTGGGGAGCAGGCCAGAGGTGCGGGGTGGGGGTAAGGAGATTCACCAGAGACAGTGGGGAGCAGAACAGGCGGACTGACTGAAATCCACGGCTGAGGGCAGCAGCGGGGAGACAGGAGGGGTCTGTGGCGCCCCGTGGGTCACCTTCCTGGCTGGGGATGGAACGGGGGCTCCAGAGGCTGTGGATGGCGTCACAGTGCGGTGCTTCACCCCTGCCCCACCAGGGTGGCCCCAGTCATGCTTTTATGTCAGCTTCAGGTAAGGCGATTTTTAGGAATGATATAAAAAAATACTCTTTCCCGGAAATTCAAGCACCTTGTTTGCCCTTTCAATGACGAGCGGATACCGCAGGGGCGCAGTGTTCTGGGCGAGGAGGAGGCATCTGTCTGCATCTCAGTGTTTATTTGCGAACCGTCCCGCCAGCGCCTGGGCCGGGTGGGCGTGGCCTCCGGGGGCCCCTGCGCGCCCAGCTCCGCCCAGCGCACCTGGCTGCACCTGCGCCACTACCGCGCATGCGCGCTCGCCCAGGCCAGGCCCCTGGCCCTGCTGTCCCCCGACTCCGAGTGAGGTTCAGGCTGGG